TAACAGAAGGACTAACGGAGTGCATTTCGTATAGTTGAGGGATCAAAAAAGTGCAAAAAATTGTTAAGGGACCAAAAATGTGCAAACCACTAAAGTTGAGGGACCAAATCTAGCATTTAACCTTTATTAAAGATATTTAAACCTTTTTATAGGTAATTCTAATATTTTTATTATTTAAACATTTTAATTATTTTAATCTTAAATTTTATAATAAACTATACTTTTTTTCCATCCTAAATTCTTCCGTACTCATCCAATATTTTAATTTAAAATTTTTAAAAAACCTTGAGCTCTTAACATTGGACAATCTGGTAGGAGACAACCTCTTTTGTTGCCAGCAGAGAGACTTAACAGACCGGCAAAATGACAAATAAAAATAATAAAAAAAAAAAAAACAAAGAGGATCGAAAAATGTGTAAAAAAATAACTTAAGAGATAAAAGTGTTCAAAATTAAAAGTTAAAAAAAAAAAAAAAAAAACAAAGAGGATCGAAAAATGTGTAAAAAAATAACTTAAGAGATAAAAGTGTTCAAAATTAAAAGTTGAGGGACTAAAATTTACATCTCTAAACAGAAGAGTCCTCCAGTACCTCTCATGAGAGCTGCAAATTTGCAACTGATACAGCAAGATTTGGAAGGGCTGTAATTCGTGGAGCTCTTTTATTTGGATTTCGTAGCCTCATGTAATCTGAGGCCCCAAATTTCGTTTCACGAGCTGGCAGTAGAATAGAAATCATGGGATTGGCATCTGTGAACCCTTCCAGTGAAGGCCTCCAACTGTGCATATTTGATTTGAGGAGGGGACAACACGAAGGGCAGGAACTCGACAAAATCCTCTTCTTCTATCCTGCGGATCTGCCCTTTTCAACCCAACTCTCAGTTACAGGCCTGAGTGAAGGCCTTATCACGTTCACTCGGTAAAGTTGCTTTCTTACTACAAACCCATCGAGATAAACAGATTTTGGTGGTGATATCTTTGCTTTCAATCAGAAAAATGTGTGTGTGTGTGTTTATATATATATATATATATATATATATATATGAAATGAGTTGAATTTGTTCTTATGGTAAAATGGGTTTTGCAGAATTTTCTCCCCAGAGGCTGCTTGTGAGGTTATAGAAGCAGAGAGGCACTCTCATGTTTTTTATGAGCCAGAGCCAGATATCTGGATGGTTATGGTGCGTATGTGCCTGACATTTTTATTAAATTAAATAGTTTTGGTATCGTTATGAGGATTTCAACATCTTGTAGGTATTTATCTACAAAATCTTTACTTTTTTTCCCTCCCTCATTTTAGTTTAGTTTCAATATAGGGCTTTATCTTCTTTGAAAGGAATCGCTCAATCAATGACATCAAGATTTTATTTTATTTTATTTATTTATTTATTTTTATTTTTATTTTTTTTGTGAATTTCATATGTTTCTGTGCTCTTGGCAGAAATTGTCATGAATTTTTCAAGTGACTAGAACAAACAATTAGGCTGTAAAGTCCTCGATTTAGAGAAGGATCCTTTGTGTGTATTACTTGGAATTGTGTCGTTGTGTCATTCCTTGCGTGTTGCTCCGACCTTACTAAATGGAGCATTTTCCTATACCTTTTTGCTTTTGAGCGAAGATCTTGTGTAGATTGGTGGAAATTGCCTTTTCTTCTCAACTATCATTGCAGAAAAGTTCTACTTAGACCAAACAAGCTTAACTCATGTTTGTTGGTGATAGGTAGTGGAGAAAAGTAAGGAGGCTGAAGCCATATGGAGGACTGATGCATTAAGAGAGGTTCTCAAAGAAGTTCACTCTCTATTCATGATGTTTCATGGATCTATAAGAGCATTGCTTGATAAAGAGCCTGGTGGAGGATTAACCCGATCTCATTTATACCCCTTTGTCATGGATTATCTAAGGGGTAAGTTGACATGCTATTTTTCTGCACAGTAATATTACAATAAATTCATTTTTTTATTTGATTCAAAGTCACTAATTGTCAGCATTTCGAAAGCGGTCTCCATGGGATAAGTGCTGCTGGGGTAATGCTGAAGTAGCTGTATCAAATGGCCTTCATTCAATTTGTGCTGCACAGTTATGAGGTTGCATATCTTAAACCTTACATATAACTTTCATCTTTGAGGCAGATATTTTCAGTGGGAAGAAACTCCAATTGCCATCATTCCATGACTGTTTAAACGAGCGGAGAACTGTACAGATGTTAACTGTAGGACGGGAGGCTGCAATTGAAGTTCAGGTTTGTTTATAGTGTTGTGTTCAGTCTTCATTTGTGTTTGACTAAAGTTCCTTTTTATTAGAGTTGTTATTTTGAAGTTCATATTTTTTGTTCGCTAAAAATTACTTTAAACATGTTTCAAAAGAATAAACTCATGGTTGTTTTCAGTATGATTTAGCTCTTTTCATCTTTTACTTAGGTTCACTTCTAAGTAGAATCCCTTGTGAATTAATATGTATAATGCCAAATTAAGAACATATAGTTGAGTGATATCTACTACTTCATAGTCATACAAGTATGGAACTGTTGTGATCATTATGTGTTTTGACAGTGTCTAGACTGTAGCCATTATTTTTCATTTTATGGGGAAATTTTTAAAATTGAGCAGATTTGAAAATAATGAATCTTTGACTGAATTGCTACATGCACCATTCAATCTGATCTTTCCAACTGTTCTTCATTTACTGTTGTAATCATTACATGTTTTGACAGACACTTGTCAGGACACTGGAATCTTCTGCTGGGAACACACATTGCTTTTCACTAATTCTATTTCAGGACCTGCTCGTATCCAGTACACTGCCTCCTGTATGATCTGATCCTCAAAGTACATTTTATGTTAGCACTTTCTAATTTAATTTTGCAAATGCATGTCATCCTTACAGTTGAGAAAACCCTTCAAAAACTCAATAAGTGTTCCTTTGTCAGATTTCTGAGAGGAACTATTCCTGTGGGCATTTTTGAAATCAAGTGCTAATCTTCATGGTGATCTTGTTGTCAGGAGGATACAATAAACTTATTCACATATGCTGTTCTAAGGTTGACCCCACGTGCTCTATCCTCTGGAGTAAGTTCCTGGTCCTATTTACGCAAAGGATATTCTTCATCTCAAGTTGCTGGTGGCTCTACCTTTGCCCACTCTGGTTCTGTTGCTGAACAATTTTCTGGTTCTGTTGCTGAACAATTTTCTGGTTCATGTGATACTTCTTCTGGAGATGATAGATATCGAGTTGTAAGGCCCTTGCAGAATGACAGGTGGTCAAAAGGGAAGGATGGTTTTCTTATCACTGATATTTGGGGCACAGAGGTTGGCGACTTGGATTTGGCCACACCAACGGTTTGGCTAAAGCATACAGAGGCAAGGATGTATCTCTGTGCTTATCAATACAAAAGCCTTACAGTAATCTTTCTCATTCCGGTCAACTCCATCCTAAATGGTGAGCAAGGTGTCTCAATGGAAAAGCAGAAATTTCTTGAAAATGTTAGTCCCCTCCCTATACAAGTTACTCTTTTTTTTTATTGACTTTCTTGTGACATTGGATTTATCAATTGTTATGTTGACTACTTTCGGTTTTCACAATTGGTGTGCAATTTTTTTTATCTAGATATGTACTATTGTTCTTACTGCATCTCCTTTTCATTTCATGATTTTTATCTTGTGTCCTTCAGAATCTTCTTTTGTACCTTAGCGCCTTGCTCCCTTCTATAAATTCCTTTTCCTTGTTGGGTTTATATATATATATTGGTTGATGGTTATGGTTGTGTATCTCTCACATTGTTGGGTCAACTTGGGGATAGATGTTTGAATCTGTTAAACAGTCATTCACATGTGTAGAGATGAGCAACATATAAAGCTTAGAAGATGGTTGCATATCATGATATATAGTCATTGTGTATAAGACATTAATAATTACAAATAAACATGAGACAAAATTATTAAACAAGCTTGTGAAAGTGTATATTAATGCACTATGTTATGCTAGAAATGGCAATTTTCCGTAGTGAACATAGCTCACTACCGTAATCTTTTCTTGATGGAATTTTTAGGCATCATTAAAGATTCTGAAAGTTGAAGAAAAATTGTCAAAAGGATGGGGAGGTGAGAATGCTTATCATGTCAGTGGCTATCGTTACTTGTTAGTGGACAGCAATAGAGCTATATCCAGGGCTTCTCCTGCAGGAAAGGTTACAACCCTAACGAAGGTAAGGCTTGCTGCTGTCTTTTGTGTGGTAATAAATTATCTGCTTTAGCACGAAAATTGAATTAAAATTTAGTGAGGTACATTTGTTTTGAGTTGTCATATTATTTTGGCAGGGAGCCAAATTTTTTTTTTTTTTTTGAATATTCTGAAGATTGAAGCACTAAATTATCACAAATGGATAATCTTGACTCATTTTTTTTTTTTTTTTTTTTGAATATTCTGAAGATTGAAGCACTAAATTATCACAAATGGATAATCTTGACTCATTATATATGTTCCCTTCATTCTTTTTTTCTTTTTATTTTTTCCTCTTTTTTTTTGTGACAAAATGTTTCTTTGATTTTCGTCATTGAATATTTGTGCTTTAGGATCTGAACCAGTTGATGTTTAGATACCTTTCTAAATCAATGATAAGCAAACATGGTTCATACTGTATATGCAAACAATTAAACCCACTTATTGTGCCAGTAGATATTTCAATAATACCTGATGGAATGGTATACCACTGAATAGGAAGAAATTCAGAGATAGGATTACTATTCATATCAAATATTTTGATTCTTTGATAAATGCAAGTTCATGTGCATACATAGGTGGACATGTGCAGACAATGAAGCTGTTACACAATACAGCTATACTGCATCATTTTAGTTAAGTTCGTGTGCATTAATTTATTTTACCTTTCTAACAGTCCGGTCTCTGGTTTACTGTCCCTGAGTTTGGTTGTCACTCTTTCAGTCCTGCAAATGGGTAAAATATTACCATCAAAATATGCACTTGGTGATAATAATTAAGCTGGCTTGTGCAACTGTCTGCAGGAATCTTTACTTGCCTTGCATATGCTTAGAGATGAGGTAGATTTGGAGAAAGGTAAAAACAAATGGGATCACAAGGCTCATGACAAAGATTTGGAAATGTGCATAAGAGCCAAAAACAATGCTTGGGTTATTGCTAGAATTACTGGAGGGAAGGAACTTTATATGGTCTTAGAGAAAGCAAATGAAAAGCTTCTTTATGCATCTGACGCTGTTGAGAAGTTCAGTGACAGGTATATGCTTCTAACATTTATTTTCGGCATTATCACATTAGAGATACTATTGCCAACTAAGTATAAATTATATACCAATTTCTCCTTTGTTTTTTCTAATCATAAAAATCATAAGAAAACCCTCTTTGGCTCTTTTCTTTTGAGGTTTTTTTAACTTGTGCCCTAAGGGCACAAGTTAAAAGTGTAATAAATATATATACATTTTCGTCAGAAATTTATATTGAGAAAATAAAACTGGACCTTTAATTTATTAACTGTTTATAATTAAATTCATCAACTTGACAATGATACTAAAATTAATGTCAACTTTTACATTTTTTTTATTTATACTAAATGAAAAAAAAGTGCCTTTAATATGTTCCTTAAACCCTTTTTTTTTTTCTGTCTGATAATCTTCTTTCTATTGAGTTGTCCTCAGCTCCTTTAGATTTCTTAATGATCAATGCTTAAGGTCCATATCCACCATTAGTTTCAATGATGCTTTCTGAACATTAAATAAATTTCATCATGGTATTTTATGCGTTCCGAGTGCTCATCTAAGGTAGGTAAACTCATCTGATTGTTTCTGTAAATTGCAGGTACTGTAATGGAGCTTTCTCTTTGGATTAGAGTGGCATTTTACATGCTTCAATATCGGTTGCTCTGGCAGTTCAGGGCGTTTTTTTTTTCTTTTTTTCCTTGTTACATAGCCATTAATGGTTTTTGCAACATAAAATACCAAAGCAAAAATGTATCTTATCTGTTCAACATGTTTATGTAAGAATAAATCCCTTTACTGCAAATTTAGAACTTGTTCTCGAAATGGATTTTGATTCTGTTATCTCACTTTCTAACCGCATGGCAGATAAAATTGCAAAAGTATGTTACTCATTTTGCTCAAAGTAAGAAAGAAGGAATTTCAACGACTCTCACTTCCAAGCATGAAACTTAGTTATGAGTCAGTGGAAGAGCATCAGTTAAATGAAAAATATGAAGTATGTTTTGGTCAAACAATTGTCATAAAAATGAGTGTATTTATGCAAAAAGGATCATAAATAATTGCTCTAGTAAAACATCAAGAACTTCCAACAACTAGGGTCAAAATATTAGTTTGCTAAGATGTTAATTTGCTAATCAAAATAAAAGAGAAAAATAAAGGAAAAAGGATGAAACAAAATGCTTGATAGGAAAACTAACTAAACTGCAAGAAGAAAGTGCAATGTCATGTGAAAGCATGTAAATGCAAAGAATGAAATAAAGGTTAAAATATAAAACTAAACTTAAAAAAACCTAGGAAGATGGACTTAGAGTAAAGTGCATTAAATTGAATTGTAAGAAATGAAATACATTAATGACGATGTAAATCATATCAAAAGCAAGAGCTAAAACTAGTAGCAATGTAGAGTTAAGGACTAAACAAGGAAAACTATTCGAGAAAACTAGATCTAAACTAAGACATTTCTTGTAAAAATTAAAATACAGATAGAGCTGGGCTTGTTGTATGAGAGGTAGGTCTCTTTTGCTTGATCTCATCATCAGATATTTATAATACCTTGATAGTATGGTGGAGTTTCGCTGGTAGTGTTTTGAAAACCAACAGTAGCGTGAAATCTGTAATAATCTCCTGAATCAATGGCAATAAGGTGAGTTGCAACAAAATCCTAAAAATTAGCTGTAGCATGCTAAAGATTTGCAACAAACCAAATACTCTATTAATTATGTGGTAACAACTATCTAAATTGATATGAAGATAAAACTACAACGTCAACTCTTGACTCCTTGAAATTTAGAACAAATGAGACATGTGACTCCTTCTAATTAATTTACGAAAATGAGTATAAACAAATTTAGAGATAACACAAGGTATCCACTTTATTTTCTTCAAGAACTATACCCCCATGTTCCATGGTCCTCAAAATGAATGCGGAACACAACCTGCAGTTCCATCTGGATCGGACCTTAAGGAAAGTAGCACAAGTCAGAAATAAGATTAGAACACTATACTAATGCATCAAAAGTTGCAAATTTTAAAATGTGATCGTCCCCCAAATTGACCCAACAATGAGAGAGATACACTATTCCAATGCTATCAAAAGTTGGAAAAAATGCTTCTTAAGCCCCTCAACTTGTTTGACAGCAAGTGATAAGCCCCTGAACTAAAAATTATGCGAATAAGCCCTCCAACCCCCATCTGAAGCAAATAAACCCCTCCATTAACGAGCCCCTCAACGTCGTTTGTTTAATGACTTGTGTGGCATTTAATTTACAGGTTGGATGCAACGTGTCATTAGTAGTATGTGGAGAGAAATTATTCAGCCTAAACAAAAAAAGTTAATACCTAAATTTAATCTCTATACTTCATAAATACATTTTGTAATCTCTAAAATTTTTCCTTTAAACTATTTTAGTTCACTTTGTCAACTAAGTACTTGTGTGGTATTTTTTTTTTTGGTAATAATTTTTTTCTTTAATTTTTAATGCTAACATGGAAGCTAAAATTGTACATTTGGCATGTTTGGTGCAGCTCCTAGGAGCTTCAGATTTTGCACACTATTCATGTCTCATGAATTTAAATTTTCCTCTTAAAAACTTACATTTTTAAATATTTTTTTAACCTCAAAAAGTTCTTAAACAGTAAAAGCTCAAAAGCTTCAAATCCAAACTTTTCATAAACTCTCTTTTTATTTACTTTTCACTTATTTTTTCACCTTTCTAAAAGCTAAAACTCTATTTTCCCTTCAATAAAAATTTAAATTTATCACTCGTAACAGTACTCAAAAAGCTAAAGCTACCACCAGCCATACCAAACAGGCCTAAATGTTTTTTTTAATAAGATGGCGTTTTATTGAAATATAATCAATCCATTTGCTTTAATTATATTTATTATTCCTTGATATATGGATTAATTGATACATTCTTCAATTAAATTACATATTCAATTATTATGACAGAATCTTTGCTATAAATTATAATTTTTTTATCATTATTTAATCCATTAATTGATTCATTTTCTATTTTTTACTGTAAATTTAATTGTTATGACAAAATCTCCTTCTTCCGGTTTTCAACCCAAATTGTTATTCTTTCCATCCTCTACAAAATTAAATCTTCACTGCAAATTTGTTCTCCTCATTCCTTTACAATTTCAATTCAAATTTGTTCTCAAAGAATCAATATCGCCTCTCCCCTCCACTCATGTCACAATTGGGCTGCTAAACCAGAAACCGTAGATCTAGATCTAGTTCCCAAACCAACAATGGCGACACAAG